GGATGGGGCTCAGTCCGTGGCCTTCCTGTGCTCCCCATCCCCCTCACGGCCTCCGGCCCGCTCCTGTCGCTCTCGCCGAGGCCGCGGCCTCCCGCCCGATCCTTAAAGCCGGGGCAGCGGGAAATGGAGAATTGTCTTTATCCCTTGTGAGGGAGAATGCTAAAGGGAGAGAATCCTGCTACTGTTAAATACATTTTTTCACGGAATGAGGTGGGATGTGGTTAAAAGAGAATTTTTAAAGCTTTTTTTTTTTTTTCTTCATGACGGGGGGAGCTTTTAGTTCATAATTGCTGCATCATGATCAGGTTTAATTGTTCAGTATCCAGAAATACTGGTGAATTTTTATTTCATCGCTCCTTCAGAATGTACTAATTTTTGGAGTGATTATAAATCTACCTTCTCTCTTGTGTTTCTGTTCTCTAGAATTGTTTAGTAAAGAAGCTTAAAAGGCGCTCCGAGGTATTTTACCATTTTGTCTTGGGAGGCATCTGTGATTGTTCTAGACATTATTTCTCGTTTTGGTGGAAGCAAGAGACGCAGTGTGTTAGCAATGTTAACATTTTCTTAATAATAAATAGATAATGTGTATTTTTCTCACCTAGGGACATGTGTGGAGTGTTTGCTGAAATATCAATGCTGGCCCACAGAAAGGAAATGCAGTTTGCCTCTGGTGTTACGTAGACGTCCAAACAGTTCTTTGATTAAAATCTTTCTTTTTAAAAGCAAAGAATTCTTCAGTTACTGCAGCAAATTATGCTGTGTCATAAAAATTGATACCTGGATAACTGGAAGAGGAAGGGAATTTTATACTAAAACCTTTGTTCTCTTTTATGATTGTTCATTACTGGTAATTGATTAAAGAGGCATTTCTGAGTGATTTGCATAATTTCCCTTTTGCTGATTTCAAGCCTGTTTCTCCTTTAATGCTGTAGCTGCATTTACACCCCTGAAGAGAAAAATAGGTAGAACTTGAAAACCACGAGTAAAGCAATATGGAATCTGATGATTCTGATTGTGTGCAGACACCTTCCCACTTCTGTACCTGTGTAAAGAGAGGCGTGCTGGACTGGATGAGGGTGTTTGTTTTCAGACATCCATTAAATATTTGTCACCCTTTGAATGCTCAGAGATGCTTCTTGTGCCTTTCTTTTGCTTCAGAAAAATGACACTGATGCTCATTACCCTAGTCGTATCTAAAAGGTCACTTCCAGTATTAAATGTTTCCTTAACAGTCTTCAATAGGTACTGTAACAGGGACTTTGATGATGAGAAAATCCTTATACAGCATCAAAAAGCAAAGCACTTTAAATGCCATATATGTCATAAGAAACTGTATACAGGACCTGGTTTAGCTATACACTGCATGCAGGTAAGCAGTTTTATATTTACATGAGCTTTTCTTTACAGTATCTGAAATTTTTAAGTGTCCTTAAGATGGGGGGTTAGGGCCTTCCAGAGTCTGTAAAACGGGTGAGAAAAAGACAGCAGTGGCCTCTTTGCAGCACAGGAGTCCTGCTGTGTCAGCAGTCAAGTGGCCGCTGTGCAGCAGAGATCTTGCTCAGGATGTTTTGTAGGAGTGAAGGAATTGTGCTGTCTCCGTTGTTCTAAGTTACTGTAAGCTGGTTTTAGGGGTAATAGTAGTTACCAGAGATTAGGAGGCACAGATCAAGAAAATGCTTGGCCAGAGAGATTAGTCCCATTAAGGGTGTTCCATTTCTGTCTTCAAACTGCCTGAAGAACACAGAGAATTTACCCTGAAATGTGGTCAGCAGGATTCATTGAGGTTTTGTTTTCTTTAGGTACATAAAGAAACAATAGATGCTGTTCCAAATGCTATTCCTGGAAGAACAGACATTGAACTGGAAATCTATGGAATGGAAGGCATTCCAGAAAAAGACATGGAGGAACGGAGGAGGTTACTTGAACAAAAAACTCAGGGTAAGGTGGAATGTGGCTGGTTGTCATTTCCCTGGTGTGTTCCTTACTCAGTGAGGGTGGGATTTAATTCCTTCTCTGCCAGCAGCTCCAGGCACTTGCCAGCCATGTGGGAGGGATTTGTCCTTTCCTGTTCAGAAGCAGCTGCTGCCAGAGCAGCTACAACAGTTACCTAACGAATATGGACATGGTCATTTGTTTGTGAGGGTAAGGGGAGGAAAGGCTAGAGGTGAAACTGTCCCGGTGATTCCCAAATGCTTCAGTTTCTTTGCTGTTCAATCAAGCCTTTGGTGGAACTGCTTTGGTTTATGCAGGACAGCATGATACTGATACAAGGGCAGATCCCTCTGTATGTTCAGGTTAATGGCAGTGTGAGTCACATTCCTTCCCTTTATGTGTGGCTGCAGGTGGGCTCACACAGCATTCTTTCCTTTGTATTTCTGTGACTTTTTGAACACTGGCAAAGTTTAAATTTTGCTGTTAGTTAATTTTATGGAATATAATTTGTGTTCAGTTTGACCATATGCGTTGTACTGTCTGCAGAGAGCCAGAAAAAGAAACAACAGGATGATTCTGATGAGTATGAAGATGATGAATCTGCAGCTTCAACTTCATTTCAACCCCAGCAAGTTCAGCCACAGCAGGGGTACATTCCCCCCATGGCACAGCCAGGTTTGCCTCCTGTGCCAGGTGCACCAGGGATGCCTCCAGGTGAGTGGGTGTGTTCTGTGAGGTCATTGCTGAAAACCTCACAGAAACACGAATTGCTGCCTGTATGCTTGAGTGCTAATCTGCCCTTTTATCACTGGGGTCACAGAATAGTTCTGGCAGGTGCAGATAAGCAGTTGGTTC